TGTCCTGAGAAAGGAACAGCCCATAACTAAACTCCAGGCATCCAAGGGTTAGGTGACAAGTCATGAAAGTTTATGGGACAATCAGAGGAATGCAGGGGAGTCAAAAAAGTCAAGATGGCAGCCACAGCCGTGCCATTGGACACTGGTAAAAAGGGGGCAGGGTTTTGATTGCAGGGTTGTGGCCACCATCTTGATTTTTTTGACCTCCCTGGTGACAACATATTTATTTCTTCATTTCTGGCATTTCCCTGCTGCTTGGGGGTAACCGGGTCTGCGGCGTGCAGACATCAACAGAGAATTCAAAGAAGGACGAATCCCAATATTAAAAGAGTCACCCTGTGTGAGATGGGCGGCTATATAAATATGATAAATTAAATTAAATTAAAAAATGGAGGCACCATCCAACAAGGACAGGCTCATATTAGTCCATTTAATGCAGTATTTCTCAACCTTGGCAACTTTAAGATGGGTGGACTTCAACTCCCAGAATCAACTTTAAGATGGGTGGACTTCAACTCCCAGAATCAACTTTAAGATGGGTGGACTTCAACTCCCAGAATTCCCCAGCCAGCTTGCTGTCAAGGTTGAGAAACACTGATTTAATGTTCCAGTTGCTTTTTCTGGTGGTGTTAATTTTCAAATATGGAGGCCCTGCTCCCTTTTGGCTCAAGGGTTGCTGGGCTTTAGAGCCAGGTAATGGATCCAGCTGTTTTCCTTGTTTGAAAGGAAGCTGCAGCAAAACATGGATCAGGTCTGTTCCTGTAGCCCCAGCCCCTGCAACCAGCCACCTCCAGCTCCATTGGAAATGCAACTCCCAGAATTCCTAGCACATCATGCTGAATGGGAATTCTGGGAATTGCAGGTTCAACACATCTGTAAAGGCTGATTTAGTGTGTGTGCGTGTGTTTTCTCCAGCAATAGGCAAATCTCAGAAAAAATGCACCTGTTTCCTTTGCCATCCATACTGTTTAAGGGGGCTCAGTATCCCCCAGAGCTTTACAATAGTTCCTCCCTTCTCAGTCTGCTTGGCAGAACATCCCCTCCTTATGTTCTTTTTACATGCAAATTATGTCAGGCAGGCTTAGGTGTGACACAGGGGAAAATCCTCTGATGGTTAAATCATGTGCTGTCTCCCAGGTTAAACAGTTAATTTTTAAAAATATAAAATCCCTTTTGAATTGCAGTTAGGGACTTTACATACACATCTATGTTGTTTTTACAGCAACAGTGTTAAGTGACTTACTCTGTCCTTCTGGAATGTTTTTCTTTTTTCTTAAAACTTTTATTAAGATATATAAAAAGCACAATTCAAATACAAACCAGAAAGTATAGAAAAGAAAGAAGATAGAACTAAAAGAAAAAGACAAAAACTAAGATAGTGAGAACAGATAGAAAGATGAAACGGAAAATGACTTCCGACTCTCTCCAATACAGATATGAATACACATTAGAAAGAAGATAGAACTAAAAGAAAAAGACAAAAACTAAGATAGTGAGAACAGATAGAAAGATGAAACGGAAAATGACTTCCGACTCTCTCCAATACAGATATGAATACACATTAAAAAAAAGGTTAATCTCTTACCACTAATTAATCCAAATTCACATTATTTCTATCAACACTAACACTAACCCTAACCATCTAATCATTAATCAAACCTTCTGGACTGTTTTTCTTAATTCTTTGGAGGAATCTCATCCAAGCCCTATCACTTCCAACCATTTTTTTTTAGCTTTAAAACTCAAATAAAATCAGGTGCTGCTCCCTGCTGGAACTACAGCATGTATCTTCAGCCATGAGCTGGTTTCATGAGTTAACAGCAATAAATAATGTAAGGTCTGCAATAAAAACTCCATCACCTACTTATATCCGGTGCCCTCTTGTACTTTTAGACTGCAGCTCCTATCATCCCTAGCCTGAAGGCTATCAGATTAGGGGAAATTATTCTAGAATTGGTGGAGTTTCAAGTACCTTTTTTCTGCTGCATTTCATTTTTCTTTGTTGAAAGTGTTACCTGGGATTTTAGGCTTCGTTATTAGCATTTTAAAAAGGTGATCTTAGCATTTTTAACATGGCAGTCTAGGCCTGCTTTCTAACTTTAGGGAAGTAAGGCTTTTGTTCTGGGCCAAGGGCATTTCTTCTGGTATGCAAGAACTTGTCTTTTCAGCAGCTAAACAATAGACAGCATATTCTGAAAAGTCCTTGCAAGTTTTAAAGATACAAACCCAGCTGGGAAAGAGAGTGATGTAACCCGTAAATCTGCCCGTCGTGGAACGTGATCTCTAAACAAAGTTTTCTATTGTTCAATTCTTACCTGTAATCAATGGCTTTTATTGTTTGATTACTTGCTAGTAATGTATGTACAAGTGTATGTATCATTTGTTCCTATACCCTATAAAAACTTGACCCCATCCTTAATAAATGCTTTTTGGTTTGCCTGATTTGAATTTTCGGGTGATTTGTATTTTCGGGTGGGCCAAAAAGCTACCTTTGCAAAGGTAAAATCGTTTTCTCTCCCAAATTCAGGAAATAGGTCTTCAGCTCCATGCCACTCGGGGTGCCTGAGGCAACAAAACCTTCATATTACATTACAGAAATGTTGTGGGGCAGGGGGTAGTATATTCTGGGTGGCCTGTTTTGCATTGATCTTTCCAAGCAAATTATGGCAAAAATTACTTGGCTGCCATTTAATGGGTTTCTAGAGCAGGGTTTCTCAACCTTGGCAACTTTAAGATGGGTGGACTTCAACTCCCAGAATTCCCCCACTCCCCCCCCCTACTCTCGGACCTCGGCCGCAGCGAGCAACAACCACATACAATAAATAAATGAATGAACGAATGAATCACCGCAAGAA